TTTCTGAACATCTTCACTCTAGTAACAAGTCTGTGGAGGAACTAAAATTATTTTTCCTAATTGAACGCATATCACCTGCTGCCTTTCATGTCTGTTTTCAGCTGATCGTCTTATATTGGTAAATGAAAAAGTTTTGGCCAAACCTTAAAAAAAATTAGAACAATATAAACAATCTAATGTAATATAATAAGGTCTTGCCCTCAGACTATGTGTTGTTAAAGACTCTCAGCTAACACGTCCAGYTTAAGATCAACATCTGCAAAACTGGCTGAGTTATAGTTATTTGTTGGCTAATGTTGATTAGTTGGTGGCCATCATCAAAGTAAATATTTATATGGATTATAGAGTTTCATAAAAATTTATTGTTCATGAGATATTTAGCTAACACAAAAGAAAACAGAAATAAACAAGGACCCTTTGTGTTTTTGGCAGTTGGCTACGAACTAAGAGCTTTTTGTTGTTATTTAATTAACTGAGGTAATTATTGTTCATCATGAAGGTGTGCTGTTAATTCTTTAGGTGTGTGTTGGAGGAAACACTTAATGGATGAATGTTTTTATACCCTTTCTAAAAAAAATAATAAAGTCAGTGGTTTAAACTAAACCTGTGGGTGGATGAGAAATCAAAGTGTTTGAAAGAAGACCTGAAAAAGAGGTGTGTGTGTGTGTGGGGGTGTGTGTGTGTGTGTGTGTGTGTGTGTGTGTGTGTGTGTGTGACTATTTTTAACTATCTTTTATGCTATTTTCAGAAGTTTCCACAAATGTGTTTCAAACCATGAAACAGACCAACTTTGATCATGAGAGCAGTGTTTTATTTTGAAGGATTTTACCTGAGAGCACCAACAGTGGCAGAGGGGTTAAAGATGATCTCAGCTCCATTCATGCTGAACATGAACCAGTTGAGGGGATGATGACGTCCATAGCAGATGTTCACTGCAATCCTCCCAAACTGTGTCTGGAACACAGTGTGGCCTGTGTCCCCCTCCATATAATACGTGGACTGAGTCGGGGGGTGGGGGGGGAGGGAAAAAAACAGTTTTAATATTTTAATATTTAATATTCTGGTCAGCTGCAGTGAAGCTTGTCGTCTGCTAACCTCATTAAAGTCTCCGACCCTGGGAATGTGGTTCTTCCTGCTCTTTCCCAGCACAGTTCCAGAGTTGGAGATCACCACTGCGGTGTTCCACAGAGTGCTGTGCAGCTCCTCTCGCTCCAGAATGGGGGAGACAATCACCATGTTGTATTTCAGGGCAAGCTAACAACAAAATCAGAAAATAATTCAGGGCCTGGCTTTCACTTAGTTAATAATGTTTTAATTTAGGGCGGAGATTGAAGCTAAGATCCTTTCATTTCTAGAAATGACAGTCATTTTTTTGCCCTCAATTTGCAAGATGTGTGTTATCCTTCAGAACATGTCTGGAGGATGACTCTCAGCTATTACCACAACAAGCTTTAGCCTGATATCTACACATTCTGACTGAGTTATGATCATGTTTTGCTTTGAATCAGGATCAGTTGTAAATGTACACCTGATGATTATTTTCAGAGAGCTTCAATAAAATAATTYCAGTAGTTGATGAGATATTTTGCTAACAGACAAACTGGGTTGACTSCAATAACTAATGCCAGGTTTTAAATCTGAGCTTGTGCAATCAGTTAATACTCATCGTTTGCCTCAGGGATTAGCAGAGGTGGGCACAGTTCCCCTAAAGCACTAAAGCACTAATAGGGGAACTAATTTCCTGATTAGTGCTTTAGGGCTTTTGCTAATTTTAAAATTTATTGGTGGATTAGCACTTGGTAAATTTAGAAGCACTAGCTGAGGTCTATAAATGTTATTGATCAACATTAATGTTAACAGCTGAGGGTGAAAACTGACACACATTTTGTTCATATGTGTGTCACTGATCCACCAGGTGACATATTGACAATATATGAACCAAATACAGCTGTGGAATGTCAATGATAAGTCTTAAGAGAGCAACATGACAATATGAGACTCATGTTGTTTGTTGAAGAATRTTCATGGGTTGACTGGGTTATTTTAGTGCTTTAGAATTAGGGGACCTAAATATTTGAGTTGGTGTTTTAAGGCTAGTGGAACTAATTTTTAGATTAGTGCTGCCCACCACTGGGGATTAGCTTCAGCTAGCACCACATCACATTTTAGTTCAGTGTAAAAGTTGTAGCCATAAGGTTGCTTCACTGCGGCAGCCATCTTGGGCAGGGATCAATAATCAGGAAGCACATGTTTTTAGCTGCACTGTAACCTGTCCTCACCTCCTGGCAGAAACGTGTGGTGCTTCCTTCCTCAGCGGACTCTGCGAACTCCGTCCACGGTTCTTTCTCCCGGGTGCAGAAAGCAAAGGGCATGGCTGAGAACACAAACACCATCCTGTGACTCGTCTGCAGCCTCGCCCCTGAAGTTTGAGAAATGTTTCCACGTAAAAACACTCACTCCAGGTCTCCTGGAAGCAGATGATGTTCACGCCACACATGGCTGCAACCTCAACGATTTCACCAACACGACTGTGCAGCGYGCTGATCTGTGAGAGGAGGAGGTGAGCTGAAGGACTTATCAAACCTGAGCAATAAAACATTTAGCTGTGATAAGAAAGATTATTTGATTTATCAGATTTCTCCAACCATCCTGAATGTTTCTACCTCACAGTAACTGTTTTTTTGGTGCATGTGGTGGTCCAGGTAAGTAAACTGTTTAAGTCCTGACCTGGTCCAGGATCGGGGCATCGGTTGGTAAAACGATGCGGTGCTGGACGAGTCCCACTCTGATTCGTCTGGGTGGTCTGAGTTGCTCCTGTGCAGCATCAAACTTGTAACCCTTCAGCTCAAAGTCACGCTCAGAAGCAGCTTCAACAGCGAAGGCCGGGAGCTCCAGCTTCCTGTGAGAGAGCAGATCCTTSAGCAGTGCTTTAACCTGAGGAGGTAGAGTGCCTGAATATTGTACTCAAGTAAAAGAAGCGCTACTTCAACATACTCAAGTAAAAGTAAAAATGGTAAAACCACCYTGAACATGCCTGATCTTAGATGCTAAGTGGGGTTGGGCCTGGTCACTACTCAGGTGTGAGACCACCTGGGAATGTCAGTTGATGTAGGAGTTGTGCCCACATCATAGGATGCCTTCCAGAAGGATGCCAGATAATCAATAAAAAGGTAATAATTTAAAAATTACATGATCAGACCAAAATATAAGGAAATGTGGAAATTTTGGTATTTTAAAGATCAAAATAAAAATAGTTCATGTAAATAACATAATTACAAAATAACAC